GTCCGATGCAATTATGATTCACCGCAGTCGCCGATGAGGTCGATTAATGCTCGAAGAATCATCATCGTGGCTCGAGCGTTCGAGAAGTCCCCTCATTTCGGTGCCTTCGTTACGGCGGGGCCTCGTTTGAGGAGCGTTTCTCGCGCAGAATAGAAGAGCGCACGTGACGTTTAGCAGGGCAACACAAGGAGAGACGGTAGCCGCGGCGACGGCGGTTCGTAAGGACAAAATGAGGAATCTGAAAAGCGGAACCGTATAATACGGTAATTGTATTCTCAGAATCAGCGCGGCACGCACTCTCTTAACAAGCCTCCACGGGCTCATTCTGTCTGGCGGTGAGCACGAGAGGCCCCGGAGCAGGCTGCTCGTGGCGAACGACACCCTGCCGGCGTAGCTCCGGCCGGTAATTAAAAAGAAAAACGAAACGCGCACTGAAAACGCGAACGGTGGCGACAAGTCGTGACCCTCGCGACGGCGCGAGACTTTGATCGAGTCGATAAAAATCCAAATAGAGTTCCTATCCGGTGCGAGAGCTCTCAATCCGATCCGATTTATCGCGTAGGATGTCGGGATAATTCGGAAACACGCGCCGATACCGACGGCTCTACGTTGTCTACGAAAAATCTGCGACTTTTTATATATAATTTTAAGATGTATTTATATTGAATCACACACACATATTGTTTATCATATATCCAACGACAATTTAACGATGACGAAAACACGGTCGTTAAAAGTCACAGAATGGACGTACCACTCGATGGTTTAACGTATACTCGCCAAATAAAGCGGCCGCTCTGCCGAGGTTGATCTCTTCGATACTCCGAGGAATTCCGGCAAATGCCGCAGATTAAACGCTCGCTCGTTCGAGCCATCGAGCTCGCGAGTTGCGGAGGGGCGGCGTCCGTTCTCGGAAGGCAGCAATAATGATTTTGGGTTAATTGCTCTCTTGTTGATCTAATAGAGAACATATCTATCAGCACGTTGGGTTGAATGAATTATTGATGAAACGACGTAATCGTAGGAAAAAGGGAAGGCGAACCGGCGTTGCGGCGGCGGCGTCGTGAGGAACAAGAGGGTGGAATAAATGCCGTTCCCTCTCCGGGTATACACGTCCCCCGATCCGGAGAGACTCCGTCCAGTCCGCGAAAGCTCACGTCTCTATCTGGGAATGCATATTCATCGCCGTGCTGGCTCGTAGCGGGACGAACAGACACACAGACACACACCAGGGGGGAGGTGGGAGATCTTCGCGGAGGGCCGGCTGGATCCCGTCATACGGCGCTCTCATAAATTATCGCTAGTTGCCGGGTAACATGTTATTTGCCACCGAGCTCCACAAATGAGTTCACTTTGTATTTAATTACTCGAATCACGCCCAGGGCGGATCCCGATGGCGGACCCACCCTGCGCTCCAGACCGTCTCGCGCGCGGTTTCTCTACCTTTGTTACTTCTCTCTCTCTCTCTCTCTCGATCTCTCTATCTTTCTTTCTCCTCCCTTTTCCCTCTTTCGATTCCTTTCCCTGAGCTGATCGTTCGCAACGATCCGCGTGTAATCCTCGTCTCACGCTCTCTCTCTCTCTCTCTTCCTCTGTGTCTCTGAAATTTATCGTCGTCGTTTACACGGCTAACTTGTGATATATGCCTGCCGGAGAGTTTTCTATTCCTACCTGACCGCCACATTACGCTCGTCAAGCTCTTTTCCGACAACGTTCACGGACAAGCTGCAGCGCGCTTGGCTTCGATGCCAACGAGTTTATCTCTCATTTGCATTTTTATATTTTTAATTACCGTGCGTTGCTGCGTATTTTCGCTTTCGGATTAAGCGGAGGTGTCTCTCCGTGACATTTGCGTCGTTGTGTCAGGTGATCGGCCCACATCCGTTCAGCATCGAATAACGGGCGACGATGCGATTTTTCGATTTTCCAGAGAAGCTGTGTTTGTCTCGACGTTATCTCCGTCCGTTCTGATTGCGCCGGCAAGTTTCTGGCAAGCCGAAGGGGGAGCCCAGACGCGGAATGAGTGGGTTGAGCGCGCGCAACTCCGACGTTACGGGCAGGTAGATAGAAAGGTATAAGAGGTGGAGGTATATATAGGTGGATAGGGCAAGGGCAGGCAGGTAGGCCAGACTTACGCTTCGCCGTCCTAATTATTGGTTCCACCACAATTCCATCCTGGAACGAGATGATAATAGATGAAAGCGATCAATTTTTAAATTGCGCCTGATGAACGGGAAAAAAAAGCGAGAATATCGCGCGGGATATTGGAAAAAATGGGGAACGCGATGCCCGCGAGAAAAATCTCACAACACCTGGTATCGATGCACACACACACCTTATTGATGGAAAAAAAAGTGCTAGGATCAAGTAAACGTAATTACCTGTTTTTCAGCCTCTTGGAATTAAAGGAATGTTTTCACCAATTTCACTGTATTTGCATGTATTTCAACAGCTTGTAGGAAATATTTATTTGAAGTGATACCTTAAAGTGTTTATCAGAATTCTGCGACACTTCATTTCCATTGGAGAAACCTAATGGTTTTAAATTTCGATTCTGCCGTCCGGCAAATACTTTCTAAAAATAACTTCTGATATTCTCAACATTATGAATTTAATATTTCCAGCGATTGTTTCAACACGTACATGCAAACATTGATTTTTCATGAAAGAAATATCATATTATATATAGTCAAATATATTTCTACTTCTAGTGAATATTTACGAAGGAGTATTGGAGTAATCATTTTGCTTGGATCAAATAAATATGATTTAAACGGCAGCACTTTATTTCAGTGTACAATAAGCCGTTCGCCAGAAGGATATTTCTGTTTTCTTCTTCGCAGCTGAATCTTCCGTAAATATCGCGATTCCGCTCGTCACATCGTCCGAATGTACATATCGGAGAATCAATATTGTTGCGCCTCCGTTTGCACATTTTTTTTTCGCGGTCCGCGGTAGCGGCGATATTAATATCGTTGATTAAATATTTGCGTTTGATCCTCGTCGATGCTTTAATTTGATTGTTTCGCTAATGCGTTTGTTTTGCCCCCCCTTTCTCCTAGTTCCACCGTCTGGCCTTCCCCTAACCTTTCGCGACGGCACGAAACACGCGCGAAGCGGGAACGCGCGCGCCTCGCAGGTAGCGCACGTTTCGCACGGCCGTTCGAAGATACAGAAGATTTTTAAGTAGAAGATTATCGTTCCGCTACTTAGGCGGAATTTTCGGGCGGCTGTGAGGCGATCCTGAAATCCAAGACGGCCGCGCTCGGAACGGGGAAGGAATGACAGAGATCGGATTGCCGACGGACCACCGTCGCGGTCGCCGCAAACTTTATCCTACCTGTTTTCGCTAATTGAGCGAGTAAAGATGTAACTGGACCTTACGCCCTTAAAGTATTTGCACCCTTTCTGCGGATACTATCCGCTGCTACATCTCGGGAGAGCGGACCGGTGGCGTAGGTCTCTCTCTCTCTCTCTCTCTCTCGATCTCGTGCCGCACGAAGATACATCAAGATGCATTCCGAGAGGTCCTGGGAAACTTCTGGTAAACAAGAGGACGAGCCGTCCCTTCGGTAATATGCGCGAAGAGAGGTATTTCCGAAGAGAGAGAGAGAGAGAGAGAGAGACCATCCGGCGACAGCAAATCCGTTTCTGAATGTAAACAGAATGAGAAATCAGGTTTACACGATCTCAATGATAGAGATGCATTGTATGTGTGTGTGTGTGTGTGTGTGTGTATGTGTGTTCTATCCTTCTGCTTGGTATTTTACATCAGCCAGATGAAAAGTAGCTCTTTCGTACTTCGGTATACGTTTATCTCTCGTCTCAAAGTGCTCTCCAATGCGTAGACAATATGAACGGTACAGCTTGCACGGTAAGGAATTCCATGTTAAAAACCGACCACCGACATTTTTGTATTTAACATGCGGAGTATATTAAAAAATACACAAATATAATGTTAACACATGCATCTTGTTAACATGTTACTTTTTCACAAATTCACCTTGTTGAAGTAACACGAAATTTTTCACCGCAGAGTTGCGCACACATAACTAGCGTGCGGTAATAAAATAAAATGAATTGATTTACATATAATTTTATTTACCTAATCCAATGAATCCGCTATATATTTACCGACAGTTACGTTCCCTATTTTCGTAATACTGATTTTCGAGTTTGCGCCTGTCATCCGTGATCCATCCGTAGTACGTGCGCACTGAAAGCTCTTCCCGCGAATGAACATTACCACTATCATTATTATGATTAAATTCCAATTAAATTGAACAGCCACGCGGGACAACTAGCCCGATAGACAGAGGCGTAAAACTGTGGTGAGCGCGTGATTCGGAGGACGATTCCGGTGAGCGGAACATGCGATGTTGAGACGATTTTCCGCCGTGTTGCGTCTGGGCTGACTCGAGAACACGTAGAGCGAGCGGCTCGACAGCAGGTAGCGCGGGCATTATTACGAGGAGGAGGAGGGAGCCCGGTGATCATCGTCGTCGTCGTCATGGTCGCGCGTACGTACCGCCTAAAGGGCCACGTAATGGCTACGCGGTTCCATATGCGAGATCGTGTATGACGGAGGCGCCGGGCCACCTGTTGCGGCCGCTGCTCGCGTACCTGGCTCCGAGTCCGGGGCCCGAGCTGCCCCGCGGAGTGGGGAGTCGCGCTCGACGGCGATTGGTACCGCGGCACGTGCTACGCGAGGGTGCCTCGCTCCGCGAACGCATAAATCTCCCGGCGGCGTTCCACCCGACTTCAGAACCACCCCGAGGCTCGGTACGATCGCACGGGAAGCTCGTGCGGTATTTTTCCGCGTCTCGGAGACAGTAAGGACATCGCGTGGTACGATCCTCGGTCGGTCCGCCAACGAGGGGACGAGCTGCGAGGGAAGAGGCTTCTTCGGTTGTTGAAGTGCGGTTTCAGTGAGAGGAGCGTCTCGAAGCCGTCGTGCTCGAGAGAGAGAAAGAGACACGCCGGTCCCTTTGGGAGCCGCGATGGAACTGCAGGAGATGTTTCGTTACGGATACATGTTCCCGCCGCGGGAGGACGAGCTCGCGAGTTGCGTGTACCTGGACCTGCCGAACTACGCGAAGGACAAGGCCGGGCTGCCGCCGGTCAGCACCCTCGCGGTGCCGCAGTGCCTCGTCTACGACAGCAACTGCAGCGACGGCTGGCACACGCCTAGCCCCTCCGCCAGTCTGCGCTCCGTCAGCCCGGCCACGACGTTGTCGATCTCCTCGGAGCCGGAGACGATCAACGCCTCGGCGGCGACGTATCGACTCCTCGGCCCGGACAAGAGGAGCAAGAGGGCCGTCTCGACGACGCCCGGCGTCGGGAACAAGCGGCCGCGCGTCGACGACCTGCCCGAGGAGATGCTCCACTTGGACGGCGAGGTCGCGGACGCCGACGGCGAGAAAACGCAGTCCTGCCGCGGCAGCGTCATCAGCAGCGGCCTCTCCGACCGGACGATGGACGGAGACAGCGAGGAGGACGCGGAGATCAGCGACGGAGCGGACCAGCCGGAGGCCGGCGACGGCCCGGGTTCTGGAGCGCGCGACACCCGCCGGAGAGGCAAGTACGTCAACTCCACCATCGTCAGGAAGCGCCGGCTGGCCGCCAACGCCAGGGAGAGGAGGCGGATGCAGAACCTGAACAAGGCGTTCGACAGGCTGCGCGCTTACTTGCCGTCTTTGGGCAACGACAGACAGTTGTCGAAATATGAGACCCTGCAGATGGCTCAATCCTACATTACCGCGCTTTACGACCTGCTGCAGTGAGGAGGACGACTGTCGGTAAGCTCGCGATGCAAGCTGCCTCGGAAGGTGCGAGACGACTCGCGAGCTCCCCTCGATGTCGCACTCTGAATTCGCACGCGGTAATCGGGGAAGTTCACTTGTCTACGGTTCTAAAGGTTTGCGGGAAAAAGTACAGGTGAACGATCGTTCGTTTCGTCTTATCCGCGGATAGAAACCGACGAATCGTCGTGGAAACAGGGGAGAAGCTTTTTTCAGAGACTTCGGAACTATGGAAAGATTCGGCTTTTTGCCAATTTTTCCGAGGATTTGTCGCGACTTCTCATCTTCTTTACTGACATGCAGACGCGGCGGGTTTCAACCGAACACGCGTGAATTTTTCTAAACGAACTTTCTAATTGTTAAGATAGTAACCGAGGAAATCGGCGGAAAAATGAGAGGATAAACCGGTTTTTCCCGAACCTTCAAAACTATAGATTCGACGTTGCCGGCGGAAGAGATCGCCGTGGCGGATGGCGAGTTCGTGTTCCGTAGATGCCCGAACGATGCACTGAGAGATGTTCTAGTTGTCTTCCGCTTCAACCCCTTTTTTATGTACCCTTTTTTTATGCTTTTAACCGCAAAAATAGCAGCGGCACGCATAGGTTTGCTTTCCATTCCTGAACTGGCTGCGTTCATTCAAGAAGGCTCACTGCGAAAAATTATACTTACTTTCGGCTTCAACTATGCGCTTTTTTGAATCGCAAAAATAATAGTAGTAACATGTAAGATTATTATTATTGTTATCACTGACACTATAATAACACTTACTGGAAAAATGGTGCCCCTGACTCGAACTTCGTCGCTGTGATATAATTACAGTTACAAATACCAAATATTTTTCTCTCAGTGCGTTTATATTTACTCGAGTATGCTGCGGCCGAATTATCGTAGCGCCTGAAGACGTGCCTTTCACATAAGTACAACCCGTACCTGTAACCTGATTCATTTCGACAAAGCAGATATTTCATTCTCTGGTCGTTTTGTGGGTAGAGAGCAAGCGAGAAGCGCTCTCCGACTATTTTCCTCTTTACGTCATTCTCCCTGATATCATTTGTCGGTACTCTTTGTGTATTTCGTACTGTTTCCTGCCAGACGCATCGGTAGCAACGACGAGGATTCTTGCTAACGATATTCTCAGCCGCTTTTAACACGCACGCGGAAAACCCTGCAACCTGTAGATACCGCGAGATGTAATGACTGCGCGATCTCGTACAGAGCGTATCGGCGATACGTGTGTAAATAAATCCTGTAAATATGCGCCGTAATCTCACATTCGTCACGTTGTGTAAGTGACTCTGTAAATGTTGTAACATAGTCCGTTAAGTTGGCTAGCTTAAGCGCTGTATCATATCGCCCGCGTTGAACTGTGTGTACACACTATAATTTATTTTTAATGCGACAATTGTAGCAGCGTACTCTGCGAGGGACTGAAGCGCGCGATGTATTTTACGAAATAAAATTATTTTACCATATTATCATTAATATTATTATTATTATTATTATATAATTGCATACGCTCGTGTTGCTGGAGAATTTGATAGTTTAAGGAGCCGACACTTCCGTGGAGGATCGTTTTTAATGTAAATCCGACGAATCGGTACCCCTTTCTTTCCTCCTTCCGATTTCGTATCGTCATCTTTAATCATCGCGCGCGCTCATTTCGATATCATCGGCTGGTGCATCGATTGCCGAGTGCATTTCCCGTTTCTATGCAACTCTTTGGAGCGCGAATTCGGGCTCGAAGGCTGGGTAAATATCCGTCGAAGAGAGAGAGAGAGAGGAGAGCAACAGCACCACCATCGGTGGTCCGGTCGTTATACGAAACCCGCACGACGCGTCGGTGCCCAGTTTCATCGCAATTTGAGAACTTGCAGACTTCTTCCTCCGACGATGACTCTTCCTCTCTCTTTCTCTCTCTCTTCCCTCTTCCTCCCCGCCCATCGCCTTGCGCTCTATATATTTTCGTCGCACCTCTTTCGGGTGAAATTTCTCCTTAACTACCTCTCTAACGCTCACCTCGATATTGAGACACGACAAATGATATATAAGGTGGGGCAATAATTGTTACCTTCTTGATGCTATCTTGGAAAAATACAAATTTTATGAACTATTCGAAAAGACGAGAAAAGTTTACAATCACCCGAGTAGAAATGTATCTAGTTGGTTTGAGTTACAAGCTAGATTAAATTTTCCAGCTCGTTATTAGTTCGTTATTGGCCGATTATTCGTTAAAATGTAGAATCGGTTTTGTAACGCAGCCGTTTTCTAGCCGTTATATTTAAGTATCAAGAATGATAGACTAGACGACGCCGTCTAATCGAAAACCGTATAATCTAGCAAGTGGCATTTGAAAAATGAAGGAGCAAGTGAAAATTGAAAATAACAAATTTACTTACTCGTGGCTGGACACCCGAGAAACTCAATTCTACCGGATTACAAAATGCGCTCAATTCATGATTGTTATATATCAATGCAATTTCTGTTAGATAAACGTTTCTCCTACTCTCATATCTCGAAGACATTCAAGGTAGTCATTGCCTCACCCTGTACGCGGCACGCCGAGATAATTCCGAATTACCGGGATGCCTTGCCTTGTCGTTGTCGTTGGAAAAGGACGAAAAGAGCGCGAAGTGTAAATAAAATCAACTTTAATTCATCCCACGGTGGAATAAGAGGACTCGATAAATCGCCTTAACGCATAGAGCGATATCCGCCAGCGTGCCACTTGTCCTAATTAAAGTAACGATAGAAAACTTGGCGCGCGCGCGATAATTCTACGTAAAAAACCGCCTCGAGGATCAGATTTATGCTAATGATGATTAATGTTTATCGGCGATGTTACCGGTCGATTCAGGCCGCGCTTTCTCTGTATCACCTGCCTCTCGGTGTGTACAACCTGCATATTATTTGCAGAATCATGGAACTCGAAATCGCGCGCGTTACTCCGCATCGAGGACAGTAAGGCCGCGGCGGCTTTTGCGAAATTATTCGCTCCTCGCGAGCGAGCCGAGCGGAAGATGCCGGCACACGCCGGCAACGAGCAGTTGCACGAGTCCGCGGAAAATGTCAGTGCGCGGGTATTCGCATTGCGCTGTCGATACACCGGCTTTTCCCTTTATTTTATTCCCACCTATCGCCTTCCCCGGTGAATTACGGCACAGCGTAAATCTCGGCTCGAGGAGCGCGCGCACTTACGATTTTCCGGGACACCTGTAATTGCCGCTCGGGATTTATTTAGTGAGGATAACTGTCTCTCTCTTTCTCCGGTCATTCTTCTCTCGTTATCCGCGAAGCTGCGCGTATCGTACGTACTATTAGAACAGTACGACCACCGTTGTGGAATGGCAAGTACAAAATTCTTGCAGCCAGCGCTACGGGAAAAGAGAGAGAGAGATCGCGGTGGCTGAGTAAATATCTCGCTGAAGAGCCATAAACCGCGTGTGTTTCCGAGCGACAATAGGCCGGCAGAAGTCCCTTGACCCTTTCGCATTTAGCGTTATTTGGGAGCAGAGCAAACTTCGGCTCCGCCAGGACATCCGGCGAGCGCATCCTCCTCGAGCAGAACGGCGAGAAAAGTAGATCCCAAGTGCTAACTTGTACAGCAACGTCCCGATCTCTCCTCGGGACAGTCGCGTTTCCAGTTGCCGATCGCTTCGTCATCGCGCCCGTGGAAAAGGAAATATTTCCGACCTTTCACACTTGTGTTCTTCCGCGATCAAATATATACGTCCGACTAATTTCATTTCGTTTTACTTTAGCGTGCTTTTTCGAATTCTACAAGTTTGCGAAATCTAAGAAAATTAATACAGGTTAACACAAGGTTTGCGCAAGGTTTCCGAAAAATATCAGAATACAAAATAAAACATCTCGAGAAGTATTTGTTTTTCCATGATCTTACCCGGTACTTTTATACACAGGATGCGCGGAGGAATCGATTTCTGTTAAAAAGCTATATGATTCCACTAAAAAAAAAAATGAAGTTAATCATGAAATGATCTCGAATTATTGACTATACGACGAAGTTAAGGTCACCAACTTATGTCCCCCTCCAAACCTTACAATTTTTGTCGAAATCACTTTTTCGCCAACTGCTCCGTTTCCAAGACGGTCTACTATTATCATTAAAACGGAGACACCTTATGCACCTGCGTATAATTAGTGGGTTAAATATTAATATTGTCAATATAAATGCTGCTTAAGAATGTCGTCATTCACCCTGCCGTAAACGTATCAATTACATAGCCAGAAAAAGCTGATTACTCCTCGCTGAGCGCGCGCGTCACGCTCGGTCGCGCGTTAAACTCTCCTCCGCCGCCCCCGGCGACGCGCGATAAGATCGAACTACCGTAAGTGGTCGTCGTCGCGGAGGATTCACGATTCACGGATCCTACGCGCGACGTTACCTCCTCAGGGGCCCTCCACCGTGGCAGAGGGAGCGCACCGATGGCCGGGAGGGGTGCAGGCGGAGGTGGGGACAGGCCGTTTTGGATGGGAGAGAACGTAAATATTTCCCGAGGCGATTAATTCTGCGAGTTGACTACCACCTTCGCCACTGGGCTCCGTTCTGACAAAGAGGAGGACTCCGGCTGCACCGGCCAGTGGCTACTTTCGGGGTACTTCGCGGTCCGGATGGGAAGGGTTGCGCACGACGGTCTTCGAGCAGCCCGGGAGGGGGGAATAAAAGGGACAAACGACGCCGCGTCGTTGTCTGATCTTGGAGATTGCTTTATTTGAGAGACGGCCTAACGCGCGCGCGCGCACCCGAATACTTGGGTCCTCGGCTACGGTATACCGAGGAATCAAGCGGAGGGGGCGGAACGCCGGGGAACGGCAGCGGAAAGAGGGCCGAGAGAGGCGAGTAACGCATTATAAGCATCGGGATAATGCAATCTCGCGACCGGATCGTGCGATAAATACGATTCGCCCGGCCGAAATTTGTCTCGGTGGCCGCGCGCATTCGGCAGCCCGCGTACACGCAGCACCTGTGTCCTCGTCTTCGTGCCCGTCGTCCTTTTAGCCTTCGCGGCCACAGTCGGACGCTCGTCCGCTGAACGGTAATTTATGATCGCGGTAAGTGACCGGAATCGGGGGATCGCGGCTCCGCTATCAATCGAGGAGGATGCTCGGACGTTCTCTCTACGCGCTCGATGATTTGCGCATTCACTTGTTTCTCGAAATACTCATTGAAATTTAACATTCCAATCGAATCTCACACTCTCGCTACCGGTGTCGTATTATTCCTATTGTGATTCCTAACAATCGATTTAATTGTGTACAAAACAGCACATTTCTACGCCTGGAGGAAAATAGCCGGTAGTTGTAACCGTAATCGTTATAGTTGGGAGAACCATTTGTTTAATAAGCGTTACTTATTAGATTTTCCAATAAGTGTTCTCCCAATAGCGTCAGCGGTAATAATCTTACATTCGTATTGCTACTACTATTTTTGTGGTTGAAGGTTGTATAGTTGAGGCCGAAAATAATGAAATAAAATGTCTCGCATTATGACGCGTGGCGGAATGGAATTTGGCCACGTGAACAGGACGATCGGAGGGAAACGACGAACAGCATGCGCGTCTACTTATGCACTCGCCGCAGCGGAATTACTCGCAGCGCGGATTGCGACGCACATAAATCAATCGCTCTTCGCCGACGACGACGTCCGCTGCTATTCGCTCGCGCGACCAGCTCGCCTCCACCCGTTCAAATTCGAGTCTGCCGCATAATGCATTCGATGAACTCGTTCGGTAACATCGAGTTTGTTCTCGATATTTTTATATCGCAACGTGCGCACGGACAGACTAAATATACAGGGTGGGTCTCAAACGTTCCGCGCGAAAAGTCGTTATTTACAAATACTGCCGATATACTAAATATGATATAATAAGTACAATTGTAACTTGGGATACACTTTTGGGAAATAAAAATATTCTATCAACGGCTGGATGTAAAGCAAGTTTCTATCGACAGGTGTTCGAAGCGATCACCACCGGTGTGTCAATTTGATTACCTTCGGATACATTTTTCTCCCACTTTCATATCCCGAAAGTATTCGACAGCCCCGCCCTGCATAGTAACAAACGATATATCAATAGTAATAGAAATAACGATAAGTAAAAAAATATACACCATAATAAAAATATTCGGTTTTCTAGTTACGTTGTTATTACCGATTAAGGTCGATGAAGTCTCGAAGGGCGCATCGCTCGCATCGACGGGCGTCTTCCGGACGCAGCGGAATCATCGTGCGTCCCGATCGGCCAAGGTGGTCCGACGGAAGTCGATCGCGGGTATTGTCTAAGAATAAAAGGGGAAATAGATATCCGGAGCGATCTTTCGCACACACACACACGAGGTGTACGATCGCGCGATCCCACGACACAATATCTGCTGGATGGTTGCGCGGCCGGCTGCGTGCGTGCTCCCGCGAACGCTTCCGGATTATAGACGCAGGTAGACGGACAGCTCGATCCCGGGTAAGGCAACGAGCAACACGACCGCCCATTGTGAGCGCGTCGATGATCCTCGCGCGCGTCTCAAATCGTAAATCGACGCGGCATCCTGTACCTGCGATCCTTCGCCGCGCATTCGACGCCGGTCTCACCCTCCGAGGAACCTCGTCCCACAATAACCTGCGGCTTTGTAATCCCCTTATTCGTCGATTGCTACTGCCGAAGGATATATACGAAGGACGTACGAAGGATACACGAAGGATACAGAGGATTCCCGACGAAGAAGTCAACGCTTTGAAGAGGCACTCCTGCGCCGGTTTCGCCAGCGTCAAATCGCCCGGGGATCGTCACGATCGCTGGGGCAAATTCAAGCTCAACCGATGCGTGAATCGGCGAGTTCGCGTGCTACTCCGGGGACTCCCCAGGGGACTCGCCGGAGATCAACATCCTTCCCATGGCGCACTCGTCGTCAATCGGCGTTGCGCCGTTTACAATGCGCGGCGCATTGGAAAACGAGCCGGCACGACGCGTCGTGGCGCCGGTCGAGCGGTTTGTTTGCACGTTCGTTTCGAGGCCGAATGAAATCCGCTTAATACAATCGAGGTTCGACGATTCCCCCCTCCCCTCCTCGCTATTCCGTCCGAAGGGTCGGCTGAAGGAGCGAGCTCTCGAGTGGCTCGCGGGGTGGGAAAGGGGTGAGAGAGTCCTGGCGACTTCGGGGAGGCACGCGCGACACGCGCCCTCGATTCCCCTTGGCCACTCGAGACCGCCCCGGGGACATTAATCCCGTTTAATCAAACACCGGCCGGAGCGGTAACCCTCGTCATTATGCTCCGCTGCTCGTTGGACGGAGTGTCGTCGTGTTTATCGGGGCATTGTTGAGAAAAAAAGCGGGACTCGGAAGCGATTGATCGGTGTTTCCTCGGCGAAGGTACACTCGCCGACTGAGCGCGTCCTGGAGCTCGTGTCGAGACGGCCGCTCTCTTCCGTTATTTCCCACTTGATTTTAAGCCCATTTTGTCACAACATGATCCGTTACACAATATATAAAAAGTGTCCTGCGTTCTATCGGCAGCCCTGAAAGCTCGGCTCGTCCGGGTTTCTCGTCGTTTTTCCTCGTCGCGCGTGACCCGACGCTAACATTAGCGTGCGCTGACGTTCTTGTCAGTGACAGATAAACGTATCAATATACAATTGAGACAACGTAATTATATTCGATGTATTAATACATAATTATGGAATTCATTTACTGACACGTTAATTTGCATATTGTCGATACATTATTAAGTTATATTATGAATATATACCTGTTCATAATAATAAATTAATTTCATAATTATGCGTCGGGAAAAGTTAAGTGGCCACGTAGCCACAGGGCTGAGATGAATTTCAAGAAACGAATATAAACTCACAGACACCTGAGATGAGAGGAAAAGCATCAAAACTGACATAGGCATGTTTCTCGTTACAAATACTCAACCCTGTTGGACATTCGCAAGAGAATATGTACTAATTTTCATAAGATTATCACACACTTTGGTGGAAAAGTGTTGCTGGCGGAGAGAAGCTTGTATCCACGCGTATGAATTTTCATTGAATACCTGCAACCAGGTTTCAGAGGCCAGGAACAAACTGGGTCTCGGTGCTTTTCCTCCACATGAGAACGCATCGTACGAAGGATTTATTCGCGGATCGTTTCGGAGGACTCGGCCGGACGGTCGTCTTCACCGTCCGCAGCTTCGGCCGGATCGTTCTTAAGCTCGCCACCACGTCGATCCTCGGAGCTGCCTTGCACGTTGATCATCAGGCTCTGCCTGCACAACGTCGAGATCGTGCTCATGTTGCCGCCGTCGACGTTCCTCGCGCGGATCAGACGCGAGAGCTTCAGCTTGCTGACGATCTTCGCTAGCGGGCCGGACGAGTCGCGGCGTTTCGCGATCGTCCTCGGCAGGGACTCGCAGCCGCGATCGGCCGCTACCAGCCGGCCGAACGTGTCGGGGTCTACGTTGATCATACCGGCGCTGGCGGACTTCACCAGGTCCGCTCGCACACCGACGTCGAGGTCCTTCGCTTGGTCCTCGCTCGAACCGGCGGCTTCGTCCTGCGGAGTCGTCGCCGCTGCTCCCACTGGACCTCCCGCGTCTTCCTCCTCCTCAGACTTCGAGGATGACATCTCACTCGGCCTCGAGGCTTCGTCACCAGTCGACGCCTGACTCGTCGACGACCGCCTCCAGGGATCGTTCTCGCGGCCGTGAGCTTCCTCCATCATCGAGCGGCAGAAGGGGCCGCCCCGGCGCGACAGGAAGCTCTCCTTGGCGCGTCGTATCCTCGAGGAGCGCGACTCCGAGCTGCTGAAACTGCTCTCCGCGACACTCAGTCGGCCTTCTCTCCTCGCCGCGGCGTCCGAGAGAATTCTGAGTTTGTGCATCAGGTCCGACGGCACCGCGTCGTTCTTCACCGCGTGGTTCTCGTCCTGCGGCTTCGCCTCTTCCGCTCCCCCGTCGTCGTCCCTCCCGCACCTCCCGTTATCGCGCCTCTCTTCGTTCCGGTTACGCTTTACCTCCTCCTGTTCTCCTTCGCCCTGCGACCGACCACGCTCGTCCTGCATTCGACACGCGCTTTGATCCTGCCAGACTCTCCTGGTGACTCTCGGCCGATCCGAAGAGTTCGTTCCCGCAGAGGAACACCTCGTGTTTACCGAGGCGGACATCGCGACTGAGCGATGAGCCTTCGCTTGATTTATCTCAGCGGACGGCGGCGTCTCTTCGTTAGCCGCTTGATCGTCGAGCTTTTTATCATCCGGCCGGTCGTCGCTAATGAACTCGCCGCAACGAGAGTCCCTCCTCTGTACCGTTAGCGCGTCCTCCGTCGTCTTGCCTCCCGAGCTTCTCCTGGACTCGGAGGTAGTCTCGCTCTCCTTCGAGGTAGAGCGCAGCGGCCACGGCAAGGACAACGTGACGCGCAGCAGAGCGTCCTGCCGGCACAGTTTCGGCGAGGCCGACCTCGATTTGCTCTTGGACTTGGAACGGAGAAGTCGCTCGTCCGCGGAGCCGTCGCTCTCCTTCCTCGAGGACGGTCGATCCTCCGAGCGGCGGAACGGCCCGAAGATCATGCGCTTCGTCTTCACGAAGACGTTCCTGGGGCCGTCTTTCTTCACGCACGTCACATGGTGGTCGTCGGTCGTCATCCTCGCGTGCTCCCTGTCGCCCCGTTGATCGACGACCGCCGTATTTTCCTCCGGACGATCCCGAGGTCTCTCCGCGACTTTCGTGCCGCTCTCTGCGCTCGCCGTGGGCACGATGATCTTGTTCAACGTCTCCTCGTTGATCAAGATTCTCTCGAGACAGCGCGCCTCGTTGTCTCTGGAGACGGTTATCGGGATAGTGCGAACCGTCGAGTCGGTTAAGAGGCTCGTCGGGCTTTCCGAGAGGTTCGATCTCTCGACCTCCGGTAACCTTGACAATGAAAGGTTTCCTCTCGCACGGCTAGCTCCATTGTCGCGAGGAGGGTTATTGCGATTTTCGTGACAGCTAATTGGTTCGTACAAGAAACAGCCATCGCTCGTGTCGTTGCGCGTGTCCGTCGTGAACGCGAGAATCTCGTAATGTCGGTCGACGTCGGTTTGCAGCTCGGAGGAACTGTAGTTCTCGTAAACGCTCGCTGAGGTCTCGGTATCAGCGTCGTGACATTCCGCTGAACTTTTGTTATTGTCTGCGAAGATAAAAATATGAAGTTGTTAAATGTACATTGAAATTATCTGTAATATATATAATATATGTAAATGTATATTTTTCTATTAAATAAATCAAAACGCGTCAAAATCTGTCGTACATGTTATTTCTTTACTTGGTGTAAACGTACCGAAATTTAAATTGGATACATTCGAGGAAGTCTCCCTGGAACTGCGGCAATCCGACCGCGATAGCATTGTTGCTAACTGATAAGTGTGAGCAGCGGCATTGGGCATCGTTTTCTCGGATTTCACGTCTTCGGCGTCTCGGTGATCCTTCGTGTCGCTCTCCCGTTCGTCATTTGGCTCGTCTGCTGGATCTCCGGTCTTCCTCGTCCCGTTCATCCTCTCACACGTGCGCGGCGTGTCCTGGTTGTACCGACAGGACGCTAATTTCAATTGCGCTACGATAAAACTTACTTTTCCAAAAAGTCTGAGCCTGAACAGTGTGACTCGAGCATCTTACAGATCTCAATGAGCGATAAAGGATATTCGACTAAATAAACAATTTCTTTCTTTATTAGGTGCTCGCGTCCTCGAATGAAGAATACCGAAGTTTAATATACGATACGCGAAATCCAGATTACAAGGTGAAATCGAATTGCTTTGTAGATGTACCATTAATTTCTCCGCGTTCCAGGTCGCCGATGTGGCCTGGAGGTCCTCAGCAAACGGTGCAGATCCAGCGTAGTCATTTTCTACAGTGAAACGTCGAGAGATTGATCAAGTATTATCTCGCTTGCTTTTCTGAAGGGACAGGATTCGGCTTAAGAGACGGAAAATTAACGAGAATTACGACATTTTCAAGGAAGGAAGTGATAAAACTGACGATGAGAGTTTTAACGAAATAACGAATTAATAAAGATCAATATGTATTTGAGGAATTCGCTGGATACCGAACGAGTCCTGCTGCTTGGTATCATTTCCGCCGGTGTTGCTCTCGTGGATCGGCGTGAGGGGCAACTCGAGCACCACCGAGTCTCTGGAATGAGCACACCACCGAGTGAATTTTACCCGATCGCGATGAACTCTCGGGGAAATAATCTCCCTCGCGTTACCTATTCGCTTCGTTGGCGTATCTTTGAAAAATTTCGCCCGACTCGTCCCAAGCGTCTCGATTCCATCCGATCGGCCGTTCGAATTTCACGGAGTCGTCGCCCGGGACGCCCGTCTTCTCGGTCCATCCCGCAGCCTCGTTCTCCCTCTCGTGTTCTTTACGCCACGGTTCCCAGCTCGGCTTGTCCTCGTCCAAGGACGTCGTTCTTGCGCGCCACTCCTCGGACGCCGGGAAGTGTTCCGAACTCGGACTGTTCTCGCTCGAGCGAGCTTCTCGGCCGATCCACGTCCTTCTGCCGTTCCATCGTTCGCAGTCGTCGTCGTCGCCCTCGGCTTCCACCAGGAACACGGGCGAGGGCTCGTGACTGGAGGTGACCGTGCCGAGGGGAACCGCGATACTGGTGGTTTCGCTGGCCGCGACGGAGTAAACTGGCGTCTGATGAGGCTGCACCCTTTCCAGGGGACTGGCGGTCTCCTCGATTACATCCTCGATGTCTACGATCATCGCCTCCGGCTCGGAGTCCTCCACCGCGGTGTCCTCCGAGTGATCCTTGATACCCTGCGGATTGTCTGTGCACGCAATGCAGGATTAATAATTAATAATCGAGGCATACGCAAATAGGTAAAGAAGCTTGTAAGACTTGGAGGAAGAAGGAATATAGTTATCAAAACACCGGTTTTCTAATCGCTGGAGAAAAACGAGAGAAAGCGGTTTGTCTCTTCGCGAAAAATCCTTTCTTTTGCTGCTTAAAGAAATCTATATGATTCTATAAAAAAAAAAAAAGATTAAAGTTGACCTTGAAATAATGTTTAAAACATAGTTTAATATCGTAATAATATTATCATTTTATGCATCCCACGAGAACAACTTGCAATTCTTGTTTTTTTCGCATAATGCACTTTTTTCGAAACATTAGTCACTTTATATGGGCCACCCGGTAGTTAGTTCTTATTAATACGTATTTCAAGAAATTACGCGCACTAATAACATTATATTATATATGCGATGTGCTCACTAGAAGTCGGCAGGGCGTCCATTCGATTGTCATCTTCGAGCTTGTTCGTGGAGATCAGAGAGTGCAGGCTCGTGGAGCGACGAAGTGTGTACGACTCGTCGCGAAGACTTCCTTCGAAGACGCTGCCATCTGACTTGGACCTCTTCAGACTCCCCCAGTGAAGTGCACGATTTTTACCTGTAATTTGCACGTGTCCGACGACGTGTGACAACAGTATCGTAATTTAATTTAGTAACATCGAAAAGTGACATCTTCTTCCGACCATAATATTCCCCTCCATTAATTTGCGTTCCTTTTATTCTCAAATATTCTTCTCGAATCTCTTCTCTTTCTTGATCAGTTAATCACATTGTACAAATGGAACGTTACATGTTTCTGTAAGATATTTGTTACCCGTGTGTTATACTTAATACGCATCTTATCGCAATATTTTCTTTTTTACGGCAACTTTCTCGACTCTCTCAAGATCGACGATTCTTACCTGCCGTACTTGATGAGTCCGTCAACGTAGCTTCGTCCGAATCTTGAGCGAACGGTGTATAACCTGGGCCCAACAGACGAAACGTGGAGGATCTCGGTGATATTCCGCGGTATTTCTCCCAATCGTACAACTTCCTCGTGAATTCCCGAGATATGCCCTCGAAGCGATAAGAGCCGACGGAGGTGCGAATCAGCACTTCATTGCCGCAGCTTACGCCCCGAGATGCTGCCGACAACCTTGAAGCCATCGAGTAGTTTAACTTAACAACTTCCCAGATAACATTAAGACGTCCTGAGACGTAATAAAGACGTGTTTTAGACACTGAGGCGTTTAAAGGACGTCTTTTACGTATTGTTTCGCATACGTCACAGTTCCTTAAAATTAAAAAAAAGCGCCAATAATTTTAATAATTTTAATGGCTAAAATCCAACTCCGTTTATACGTTATTTAGACTTTTGCACCTCGAGTCGCCGTCGAAGCAATCGTTCAGTTGCTTCGCGTCGCTCTCCCGACGTTCCTTCCTGGCCCTTTGGCCAAAAAGCAACAGCAATTTTTCCAGAGCGAGGAACTCCGTCTCGTCGATGATGTCGGACGCGACACGACTCGTCGATGGCTTCGGCCTCTCGCTGTTCCTACACGCGGCCTCGCTCATCCTCCTCCACGCCTCCATTCTCTTGACGAAGTCCTCGCAGAGGTGCTGCTTCCCGTCGCTGGCGAAGCTCCCCGCACTGCCGATGCTCGCGCAGCTTCCGCGAGAACTGACCGAGTTCTGATTCTTCTGTCGCGCAAAAGACGATTACATGGCATCGCGAGATATCGCAACGAGAATTGAGGCGGTGCTCGAAAAAGGGACAAGATCGTCTCTTTTGGAAAAAAAAAGCATCTCTTTTTACTTGATCCTTACAGTATTTGAGTATTTGAAGGAAACCATTCGGTCTGTTCATAGTTTTCCGGAATTGTATATTTGCCTGCGGTTATTCTATATTAATATTCAGAATGAAAGATTTTTCTTCATGCGATCCTCCTTAAGACGTTGATTTTACTCGTGTGTCCTTCCTTCGGCCACCGCGTCAATTATCTTTCAAGGGAGACTCCCCCGTCATTGAAAGATTTCCGTAAGAAACCTGAGCCGAAATTTCGACCTTTAATCTTGCAATACAGCAGGAGATAGCGAAATAGGTTCTCAACATTACAATTCTAATAATATAATTTACCCCTATCGTGACCTCGATATCTTAAATTTTCCTTTCGCTATTTTAGCGTTATGGTAGCATGAAAATGATATCTGTTTATTAAAGGTTCCAGAGAGAAGTTAATAAATATCAGTATCAGTCAAGGTGATTTTTTATTCATCTAGAGGCCGTCTAAGCAGACTCAAAGTATCCTTTAAAGTCTCCTCGCCAAAGTAGCATCCAAATTTCGACTCTGGAATGATCCTCAAAGATCATCGCGTGCCTGCGACCGGATTGGTCCCCGAAGCGTCGTCAGATCGCATTTGAGAAACAGATTTTCCGACATTCAAGGACGTCCGCCTTTTCGCCAGCTTCTCCTTTCCCCGAAGACAATTATTCGCGAGCGTACGCGATAGTTCGCGTGATCAACGTACGCCGTAACACTTGGGCTCGGGTTTCGACGAGGAGCGCCAGAGCTGCCAATCGGTCAGCCGTCGACGGCTGACGCGCTGTTGCTCGATGCTCGCGCCAGATCGTCGACCCTTCTTCGCCCGCTTCCAGTCCTGCAGCTTCTTCCTGAATTCGGGCGCCAGCCGCTCCTCGTTCAACGGCAGGCCGTCGCGGACGTTCCGCGCGCCGAGGACGCGCGGCGGATTGCCCTTCAGCCGCTCCCATTCCAACAGCTTCCGGTAGAACTCGCCGCCGAATTTCTCCCGCAGCGCCTGATAGTCCCTGAGCGCTTCCGCACGGCACTGGTTGGTACCTGCAACGGTTTTACCGAGATCCTCGACGCTTTCGCTACAGCTGCGAGCTCGGCGCGTATCTGCGTTTACAACGAAGACATTTTATGCGAGTGCCGGCGGTGAGAAGCGTGCGGCAAACATGCGAAAGGAGGGAGAGAGAGACGGGAAAATTTTCGTGATCCTTTTTGGATGCCAGTCTTTTAGATGCGTAGCTTTCTTTGTGGGAGGAAGCGTCTCTTCTCAATGGAACTTAAAGCCAGAGAAGCCGAAGAAGCTTACGTCACGTACGAGTTCAGATTTCATTTGTTACATTATACAAGTATTGCGTATTATTAACACATTGCCAACCGACCCACCTAAACGTCCTTTTGACGTAGCTGAAGTTTGGAGGGATCTTCGAGAAGAAATTTTAAAAAATACTTCTTCAAATTTAACCTCGGCAGAAAACAAAAATATGCAAAAGACAATAAGATTGTGCAAATTGTGTCAATATTAATATAAACAAATAAAGAAAAATGGAAAAAATTGCGCGCGCACGATCATTCATACAAATTAAAATTCTCGCCGAGAGCTGGCTTGTGTAAACAAATGATAGTTTTATATTCCGTGGAACGTTACACGTTAGAAAAAAAAAATTGGTTTGTCGAAAACGAGTACCTGGAAGGTCCCCATAATTAACGAAGTTTAAGCGCGCGCACTCAACCATAAAGATACAAAATTCTGCCGACCATCTCAGCGTTCCGTGCGCTGCGTCCTGCCTACGAAATGTACGGTTTTCAAAGCCTAGCATTGTGTTGATTATTATATTTCTTGTACGTATATATGTTAACAATATATTAATATTTATTCAATTTAATTAACATACGTGTTGAATTTAATTTAATTGATATACATATATTTTCTGGTTTCGTATGAAAGCAGTTAAAAGGTACATCTTGCGATTGACACGACGGAAGGATCGGGTTTCCGCGGGTCCTTACGCATTAATATGATTCTTGCCAGGGGCAACAATACAATATACACAGGGCAGATGATATACTTGAATATTTGTTCCACACTCACCTTCGTTTGCGAACGATTGTGCGGCGACCACCCTGACCGGGCTGGGGGGCACGCTGAAGGTAGCGTTTGTCAGAAAAGCACGCCTGACCTTGTTCCATTTTGAATCCTGCCTCTGTATCTTGGGTGCTGGCGTTATCGCTTCTTCGATTATCGAGTACTGGAACGGGACACGTCATATTTTACGTACTCGAATAAGACCAGTTTGAGTGTGGCGAATGAAAGCGCTTTCGCGAAATTTGGAATATCCAAATGTCCACGTAGTAACCGACAGATTTTCTTCGCGACATGAAATTGGCAGTGCCGGCAAATTATCGTTCTCCGTGCAGATAAACACACAATATATTTCAGTCTACTGTTCTCGAAGAATCTTGCCAACCTGCCGCTTAAATTCCCGCGAGCTCAGGATATCCGGACGCGCTTTGGGACGTTGAGGCGAACTTCCGCCGGAATCCTGCGCGCTTGAGGGCAGAGGAGACATCGACTCAGGCGAGGATAAGCTTCTGATCTCCTCCTCGTTCGACGGTATCGTGATCGTCAGGGTCGGCGTCGGTCTCTTCGGCAGCGGCGGCGCTTCCGGATCCTTTCCGATATGCGCCGTCGAGTCCGCATCGGATATAATGCGAATCAGCGGTTTACCGCCGCGGCTCGTCTGTCATCGAAAAGAAAGCGAATGCTTTGATATCATTTCCTTCCCTTCCCTTGGCTTTTTCTCTTCCTCGCGCGACTCAGAATGGAGCAGCGTCTGTTAATGGGCGCGCTCGCTTCGTGCATTGATCAAAGAAATTCAACGGGCGCGGTCGTGCGCGGCACGCGCGTTTGCCGGCGGATATTTTTAAGCCGGTACACCCGCCGTGCCGCGGAGGAGGAATTTCGCGGAGCGCCGTTTTATCGACGCCGCTGTAACGCAAACCGCCTCCTACCGATGGCCTCTTGTCGAGGTCGATAGTAATTTACGAAACGGCCCGGTGTTATTTCGGAAAGCGTGAATTACCGTGTATTATTAACCTCCATATGCGCAGAGGATGAATTAGAACGCGTTGCGTTAACGCGGGGGGGATATTTTATAGGCGGCCGAGCAAATCCTCGTGATGTGTAAATCGCGCGATTACATTTTCTCGGTAAAAAAATGGTTAATTTCTGTTGTATGTTGTACACAGAGAAAAAGATTTTCTTTGGAATTAATAAAGTGTCTCGAAACAAATTTGTCCTTTGGAACAAATGAACGCGTGATTCAACAAACAGGATTGTTTGGTTTCTCGAACAATAAATATCTTTACGTCAAACACACATTTTTGGCATTTTCATCCAAACATTACAATAGTCACGAATAATAAATTATTGGAAAGAGGTAATATTGTGTTCGAAAAATATCAGAGAACTTCTTTCTGTTTTAATGGAACAATATTTAATGTACGATGAAGTAAAAAAAATTTTTTTTTCTTAAAAATTAAATATTATTTCTTTAAATTAATATTGTTCTTCTATCAAACAACATAATTTATTCTACCGAAACAATGACATTTTCATCTAATCAAAATGATATTAAATTATGTTGTTTGTATCAAGCAAACTCAAATGAAACAAACGCGTACGCTAAATTGAAGAAACCCTTTTCCCTGTGTTTATAATAACCACTTTTTTATTGATACGAATTATAAGTTTGTTAATTACGTACACAGCTAATCCAACGTTAATATGACAGAGACGTTACCTCATTGGGAAGTTCTATGGAATCAGCGTTCTCCGCGATGGAGGTGTCGCGATCGAGCAAACGACCGTGTCGATCCGGATCGTCTTTTTTCTTATCGTCTTTCGCTTGTGGCGACTGACGATCCGGATAGTTTCCGACATTTTTCCGCGGTTCTGTAAACATATAACATAGTTGAGACATTGATCTGCTCGCAATTTTTAATATTGAGTAACTCCGTAATTATGTATTTTTCAAAATGTTCGACAAATCGCTTCCGAGTCACGCGTAGGAAAAAGGAAAATGAAATGACGACTTCAAGGTTCGTCGATTTTTCTTCATTTTTATAGTGACGTAAAAATAATGACCGACTTTTTCCCGAGTAGCTAAAGCCTAGTCTGTTGTCAACGTAAAGTTAAAAATCTTACAAATAAATTCGAGAATGCTGTGTAATTGAAATTTTTCAATTATCAGCGTGGAAAACTGAGTTGATCGTCATTTCATCTCCGTTTTCCCGGTGAGAACGAGAGACGCATCCTCACCGTCGAACACGTCGTCATTGGACGACGAAGTGGGCGAAACTCTGCCGACCGGCGTGGACGGGCTGGAGAGTTCGCTGGTGCAGGGCGACAACGCGGAGCCGCTCCAGCTGCCAGCGGTGACGTCGGGGATCCTCAGATACCTCGTCGTGGGCGTGGACGGCGTCGCGGTGCTCGATTCCGCGATCTCCGCGAGATCGTTGGTGCAGGCTCGCTCCCACTTGAAGGCCGCCTTCACCCTCGTCCACTTGCTGACCTTCGGGCCGCCGTTGCGAACGGCGTTTCTCGCGGTCCTCTTGTCCGCGTCGGCGCGATCGACCGGGCTGGACGTGCCGGTCTGCTCGGCGAGCGATCGGCTTCGTTGCCTCGACGACGGCGAGCGCACGCTCGAGCGCTCGTTCCTCCTCTGGCCCGGCGGCTCGCGGCAGTTGGACAGCATAGCGTCCAACAGGGACTCGGCGAAGCCGGTGTCCTCGTCGGGAAACTCGGCGAGCAGCTCCTCGTCGTTCGCCAGGGCCGCCTCCAGCCGGCGGTCGGCGTTCCTGAGCGCCTTCACGCGCTCCAGGCCCCGCACGCGCCGGAAGTACTTGGAGCTGCGGTCGCGCAGCTCCAGGATCTGCTCGGTCAGCGCGCACAGCCGGTCCAAGTGCTCGAAGGCCTCCTCGGGACCGGCCGCTACGCCCATCGCCGAGGTCGCCGAGTTCGGCGTGTCGTAGTCGAACGAGTGACCCTCGACCGGCGACGCGCCCAGCTCGCTGAGGTAAGCCACCAGGTCCTCCTCTTCCTCCTCTTCGTCCGGCCTGCCGGTCGCCTGCAGGGACCCCGTCGCCCCGCGATCCCGAGCGAACCGCGGGCATTGCGGGTCCGGCGGCGGGGTCGGAAGTCGACTCTCCTCGAGCTTGTCCTTGACCTTCGGCGCGCGCTGATCTCGCGGACGACCGGCGCTCGGCCTGTCGAGCTTCCTCTCGATGTCGAACGAGCCGCACTCCTCCGTCTGCTGTGCGTTTTCTTCCGCCATTGGGTCTCAGGGGCTGCGATCTAGATACTCCGCGGGATGCAGCCGGTGATGTTTAACAGAGGGCAGTCGTGGCGATTCAACATCCTTTTCACGGTGGATTCCGCAAGGAATCCCCGGGATTCGGATATTTTCCTTCCTTCCGCCTTTCTTCCCCCGAGGGGTGTGGTCGAATAACCGCGAGCGGAATTTCGATACTGATCTCGACACCAGCTCTCGTCGGGTAGTTATCGTCCTCGTTTACTGATTCACTTAACGGTGTGTGAATCTCGGCAGTCTTAGGCCTTGAATTCTGCAGAGAGTTCCCGGGGTTTTGTGTGATATTGCCGTTTCTTCCGCTTTTACTTTGTCCCTCGAGGGGGACCGGTCAGACAACCGTGAGCGGGATTTCAGCAGCAAGGATATTTCCCGTTTATCTCGCGACCTCGTTGCCTTTGTTTACAAGACGTGGAGCAGACACGGGCCACGTTTTCGTCGGTGACGTGTACCAAGGTGGTGTATTAAATGAGAAATTCCTTCTCTCGGCCAAATTTCCCCGCATATCTTTTTACGCCGCGCATCACGCTCGCACGCGTTTGAGCACTCCTCTCCGAATATCTCCGTTCCATAACGGCGACCGTTGGATTTGTTCCTTTGTGCGCGTCGTTCCTTTGAGCGCAAATGCAACGTTCTATAAATTGACCGTACAGAGTGAAGTGTTCATTCGTCTCATAAACATCCGATCGCATAAATATTACGGGGAATGCGCCCGTATGCATCGGCGCGTTCCTCCGATGCGGTTTCGCTCCTTCTCGACGCGAGAGAACCGGCGAATCAATTTCCCTCCGTGACCTCTCTTCGATTTTCTTCCCCAATTTCCTCGTCCGACCGAACGCGGTGCTTCGCGGTTCGCCACGTCGGAGTCCGCCAGAGAGATATTTCACTCGGTTAAATTGACAACATTTACCGCAACGGAAGTCGAATTGGGTCGTATCGATTTGCGCAAATCGGGACGACCGTTTCGCACGACTCTTTGTTATGATCCGCCCGATTTCCTCCGCCTCGCTTTATTTAGACGCGGAGGAAGCGAGTGACGCGCAGTCCAATCGCGTTCATTCTTAATTGTCACTGTAAAAATTCACTCGTCAGTTATCACATACTGCAAATTTACTCTTACTTTTTACTACGTCTATTCGCACACACACACACACACACGCGCGCGCGCACCAGCGACGGTACCACAGCGTCAGAAGACGGCCTTCCACACGGAACGTTTCGTTCTTCGATTACGACCACATCCTCGATCTTTCGGAATAATTTCTTTTTTCCTTCACACACTCGATAGCCGATCGCAAGATCATCCTCGTAATCGCAAGCAGCACTCTCGATCGGTTCTCATCGGTAGCCTCCGGAGCGACGAGAATCCTTCCATGCGACCCCGCGAGGTCGCTTCTTCGTCGAGCGAGAAACTCGTCGGACGCCGCGCGTTTCGAGACTTCGGCGATAGCGCCCGATTATTTTCGGTGACGAGCATTTGCCGTTCGTATTTACGACGGATGCGAACCGCGCGTGTGTGTATATGCGTGCGTTGAGTGTGTGTGTGTGTGTGTGTGTGTGAGTGTGGCACGAGGGCGTCCGTTCATGCGCGTGTGTACGTGAGTACGCGCGAGTTGCAAAGGCGTCGCGACGCCGCCAAGCGAGAGTCTGCGCGAGCGAGCGTTCTTCCTGTTCCCGTCGAAAATAGACGGCGGCGGGAAGACGCGTCCGTTCGGCCCTTATTTATAAGCGGCGCGGAATGATTACGGCGCGAGGCGTGAGACACCGCCGCCACAATTTGGAGGACGACGTTCGCGGGAAAAGATTCCATTCGAATTTCACTCGAATCTCTTATCCGGCAATTTCCTGCAACTAACGTCGAAATTTTATTTGAAAATTCTCTGATACTGAAAAGCATAATGGTACATCTGGCACGACTGGGCATTCCGTAATCTCAGGTTGACGTTTATCCTGGTTTTGTATATATTGAGTGTGGATTTTCATTGTACGCACGATTAGCGAGATATTTGATCGGCTGCAATTTGAGAAATTGTCGGTGCTGCGGTGAAAATTGGCAAGAGGGAAGAGTCTTGCCGGGCCGGGAGAAAATTTGATACGAGATACGCCGGCGTTTCCATCCGCATCGAATGAGTCGTTATCGATATTTGCGAGTATATACTCGACCGGAAGCACATTATCCGGAAGCGTGGATCATTCCTTCATCGGTAACCGGGTTAAATCGAGCACCGGTAACATCACGAGGGCTGCACCTGCGAAATGCTCGGCATTCAGTAAGAGCGAATGGATAACAATCGAATAGATAACGCAGTCACATTTTTCTCGTACCCATCAGAGAAACAGACGCGACGATCGTCGTTAGCAGGCAAGTTGTCCTCGGGAAGAGCAGCGTCGCGGAGACCGCCAAATGGGGAAGTATTTTTGTCAGACCCATCATCGTGCCTCTGAAACATACCAGAAACCACCGGGTTTCACATCTCTCGCGCGTCCGCACCGCGTAAATATGCGATTCCTGCGAACGTATCGTAAACGTCTCCGGGATGATCCAACAAGGAAACAGACAGAGCTGTAATTCACTTTTTATATTCCATCTTTTGGAAGGAAGGAAAAGGTTGAGAAATTCTTCGAAGTATTTTTCAGATTGTATGCACGTGTGTGTGTGTGTGTTCACAACACAACAAAATGAATACGTTAAGAAGTAATGTATAGTATTAATTTAACATATTTGTGTACTTTTTAACATATTCCTCACGTTATAAGTAAACACAAAAAAGTGGGTGGGCTGTTTGTAATGCAAAGTTTTGTATATATGACGAATGCGCTTGCTATTTTCAATATGTTTAATGCATTTATTCTAATTCTTGATGTCGAGATGAGAACATGAAAAAATATAGGTCTAATATTTATTGCCATTTCACAACATATCCGAGATCTATCGAAATCGGTGAGTAGCAATTTCGTCTCTTTCCTCGTAAGATTAACCAGATGCGCGAAACGCATTCGGCTTCGCACGACCTACCTCAGAGCGGTGGGATAATTCTCCAGTAGTAAAACGCACGTCGTTGTGCGTCCGATAGCGTAAGCAGCCAGGAAAATCGACGAGAGGACCACACGAATTGCGTGGTGCATTTGGAAAATAAACGCGAGCGAGGCCACGCCGCCCGCGATTCCGGAAAATACTGAAAGCAGTCGAAAGGTCGTTCTTGTGCAAATATTAAGACAACTACGGCTCTGAATAATAATGAGAATAATATTAATAACTTTATTGGCCACAAGAAAAAATTATATTAAGGAAGCTTATTATTAATCATAGAAATAGATTATTATTAGGATTTTTTATTCAGATTATTAAGATAGAATATAAAATATTAAGCTAGTATGTGTAGTAATATTTCGTGATACTAAATATCATAATATTGTAAGTCGTAATATCTTAAAATAGCGAGAAAATTACGGTTCTATATCGATTTTTATATCTAAGGCAGTATAGAGTTTAGAAAAAAGAAATGTTTCACGATTGTGAAGTTTCGACGAGGGAGACTGTCAATGATCATAATAGCATTACGATCTTCAGTAACTTACTTAGGTACGGTTTCCTGCCAACGATGTCGATTCCGATAATGAGCAACAACTCTCCTAACACGTAGCCCAGCGATACCAACAATAGCAGGCCGAAACGATCCTCGTTCACCTGGTCGCAATCTCGCAAAAAACCTAATGCCACGTTCTGGAAGTTCACGTTGCACGTGTCGTTCCTGTCGACGGCGTCCCTTTCTAGCTCCTCGAGCACGTGTGTACTCCATAAGGCGAGCCAAACGAATCTTGAACATCGTTTTCGTGATTCCCCTCGGAATCTCGCATCAACGAAATCGGAGAGATGCGAAGGAGAACGAGCTTGAGAAACTTTAGAGGATATTTCTTTTCTTATTACCCGGGAAAGTGCAGGATACACGCCAATACTCCACATACTGTCGTTCGCTTGTACGGAGGCCCGTATATTCGATGAACCCGTCCCCAAGTTTTCGTGAAGTACCCTCGAAGTCTATCCATGAAGTCGTCATCGTCCTCGTTGGATCCCTCGTCCGTACGTACGCAATCTTCTAAATTTCTGGGCTAAATTATCGAGAACGATTATCAAAGAGTGAAAAAACCATCACCAAATAAATTACACGAACACAATGAACGTAGTAATAAATAAAGAAATCAACATATGTATACATATCCACCTCTCAGAGAAAATTAATCATTAATGCATGGGGGAAAAATGCTGTTGTATCGATAGAATTGTGCGATCAACAGCACAATTAGAGTAAATCTTCTTGATTCAATAGCAATATATTAATGAAAGCAATAAATGGTTTTAATAGCTCAATTATTAGATTCAGTAATATTGCTGTCGAACCGAGAAGATTTACTCCAATTACGGCACGGTCGATCAATTCTGTTGCTACAGCATCATTTGTCTTCCGTGTATATTCGTTCTTTATGCAGTTGTAAATGTCCTCTCTCGCTGGGCGACTCGTACTAGTCGTCGATTAGTTTCCTCAACCTCGTCCACAGGTAGCAGATGAAGATCGAATGGACGAGGAAGTAACAGGAAGTAACAAGTTCTTCAACGGAGTGAGGAACGGGTCGCCGTACCGGGTAGGTATCGGCGTGTTTCGAATTATTGATGGCGTACATCTGTCGCAGCACCGTGAACGCTTGTCTCGGTCTCCGACGGTACAGCGAGTGTCGAGGACTCGGAGGTAGAAGCCCCGAGGCGCAGGCGATCACCAGACTCGGCGCGCCGTAGAGAATGACGAGGACCCGCCAGGAACTCGGTCGGAAGTGCTTGTCCAACATGCGTATCGCGGAGGGCATCATGCACCAGGAGACACCTTTTCGAGTCGTATCGAGCAAGTGTGAATTTCTTTGCCGAAACGTCGAGTCACTCTTCGACGCGACTGGCGTCGTTTTTCGCCAAAAATTATATACTCACTAAAATCTTACAAAAATAATACTTCGTAGTCACCATATCTTACAGTTACCAAAAATGGATTTTCGGACTATCAAATGCATCCTGAAATATATACTTTTTTAATTAATTACGGGTCGTGCGATGATTGATTATAGTCGTACTATTAATAGATTATAAAATTTCTATGCATATATACATATAGATATTCCACAGATTAAAAAGAAAAAAGAGATCTATAAAGAAATATGTAAAAAAATATTGAAATGCATTAACCAGAACTGTTTTCAGGGTTACTATTTTTTAACTGATAAAGGATCAAAATAATAACTTAATCGAACTGTTTAAGTAAAAAAAATATTTAACAAAAGAATATATTATTATATTATTTATCATTATTATGTCGATAGCCGAAGGACGTTAAGTTTAATACAAATTGTAAAATTTTCCTGCAAGTTCATTCCGTTACCTAAAGCTGCTAAATAGCCGGTCACCCAGAATGTATCGATCACTGCTAAGCAAGTTCCTCTCTTTCTCATCGGCAGGCACTCGAGCAGATACACTCTCAGAACGGTGTTATTACCGGCCACTCTAGACCAACGCCAATTAAAAAATCACGTGATAATGTAATTATTAATCATGCAATTACAAATCATACAATCAGATGAACGTGCATTTTTAATGTGCACATAATGATAAACGCAATATCTACACTTCACATATATTGTTTTCACTGTGTTTCTTCATCTTTTTATACGACGTGAACGAATTGCAAGCAGAAATATTGACTTTTAATAAAAATTGACGGATAATTAAATATCCGTGTTAATTTTAATATTAATTAATCAATATTTTCATAAATTATTGTAAAGATATCTTGTAAAGCGATTCGTATCAATTTTATTAAACTAATTTGTCACAGCGAAGTTTATCGGACTGTCCCGATTGTCTCCAGCCGTGTGCACCATGAAGAGATGAAATCTCACCCCAATCCCAGCACGAACACTGATAGGTTTATCAGAAAATTTGTTTGGGCGAAGGACAAACCGGCCGAGGCGCAGAACACAATGCCCGTGGACACTGCGATCGATTTCTTACGTCCGGCGGTGTCTGATATAGACCCGAACAGGAATGCTCCCACCGCCATTCCTACGATTAAAACACAACAGATTATAATACAACTCTTGCCTGTATGTGAGGTATCTTTCGGTGTGTGAAAAAACACAAATTTAATCCTCGCATGAAAGTGAAGCGTCTACAGCAATATCTTTTAAAATATTTTCTATTTATATATTGAAAAAAATTAATTAAATAATGATATAATCTACCTCTGTAATTTACTTTATAATTGTGTCTTGGTGTAGCATAGCTTGGTATTGCAATGATTCCTTATTAAGATCATGCTTTGACATAAATATATACCGAAACTGGAAGTGGCGACAGGCATGGTGGCTTGATCTTTGTTGAGCTTGAATTCACACAGTAAAAACGGTGCCACGATGGGAACAGTTAAAGAAGTGCTTGCTTCTGCCAGCGACAGCAAGCCAGACAATATGATAAGGAAGTAGTGATAAATACCCCATCCTGCATTGAAAGTATTTCCGTTTATTAAAATATACGATCATATATATATATATATATATATATATGTGTATGATTTTCCTAAAATACTGGCAAAATCTCAAGCTTTGAAATGAAAAATATAAATTATGTTAATGTGTCATACACAACACTACCTTGAAAATAACATAATCATGATGTAAACTTTTACAATGTATACATTTTTTCATATTTATTTTTTCAGTGTCCTTACCTGTTCCCGCTATTGCAATTTCGCACTCGTTACTCATGCCAAGCGAAAGAATAACATAAAAATTTGATATCAAACGCATGGATAACTCGCCGGTGAATTGGTTATAGTTATTAGTCGCAAATTTCAATCGATTATTCGATCGAACAAAGACGAAAAAAGCAAAACTGAGCTTGTTTGCAATTCGACCGTTCGTAAAACGCCGTCAGATATTTACGCTAAATTATCCTCGGGAATAATATGGATACGTCAATAACAATTATGGAATACACCAATAATTGTAATCATCGGAACGTGATAAAACGGAGGTTGACGTGATATTTCCGGCAAACTTCAGTAGATTACAGCTTCGGCAAAAATTGGCCTCATTTACATTGATCGTTCAATATGCGTTACTAACTAGTAATTTTATGCTAAATTGATTTCAGTGAATCCTATGAAAACGAAGTATTGAATCGGCATAACAAATCTTTAAAATTCGCACATTACGTGGGACGTTGGAACGAATTGGGAACACGAGTACAAAATAAACCTGTTTATTAAAAGACAACTAAGAGGAAACATTTCACATGTCATACTGCTGGACGCGATATGTGTGCTTATCTATATCAGGTAAATACAGAAATAAATGATGTACTAAATTGGAAATTAACGCAGCGCGCAAGAATACAAAACACACACAATACGAGTGTAACTAATAGGACGTACAAACGAACATCATTGTTGCGTGAAATCTTATTGTCTACGAATCTTTGAAGTACTCCTTCGAACCGACTACGTCAGGTTTCATGGTTTTCTTGCCAGGTTTCCAGCCAGCTGGGCACACTTCACCATGTTTATCCGTGTATTGGAACGCTTGGACCAAACGCAAGGTTTCGTCAACGGATCTGAAAGTAGTACACATGATTAGAGAGAGCGCGAACATGCGGAACGAACGTTGCTCAATCCCGAAGAAAATGTCTTTGGTCGTAATCTAATACTACATCTCAAATATGTGACTTTAGCGTTCTTGTTTGTAAATACAAAGATCGCGTTCAGCGTTATCGCAGGCTAAGGCTCGCACGATCCGCATTTTGAATGTCAAATAAAACCGCCTGATTCGATTCCGGGATTTGATAGCCCGACGTTTCGTAATGTTGAGCCATCGTGTCCAAATGCGCGAGCATACAAATCGACTTCCACGAATTCGACGGACGACAGCACCTGACCTTCCACATTATGAAGCGAGCGAAGTACTTACCTTCCCACGGGTAAATCATTGATGGTGACTTGACGGACATTCTGCTTGTCGTCGATGATAAAAAGTCCGCGGAAGGGGATTCCAGTGTCCTCGTCGAGCACGCCGTAGTCGCGGGAGATCTTGAAACTCTTGTCGGCCAACAGAGGAATGTTCATCTCGCCGAGACCGCCCTGCTTGCGGGGCGTGTTGACCCACGCTAGATGGGAGAAGTGAGAATCGGTGGATGCGGCGATTACCTCGCAGCCGATGTCGCTGAATTCCTGCGCTCGGTCGGAGAAAGCGATGATCTCGGTCGGGCACACGAAGGTGCTGCGGTGAAATGATCATTGTGTTTCAACACTCGGTATAACTTATCTCTCTTTCTCCCTGCTCTCTCTACATTTGTCGGAGTGAAATTTCACCCGAGAAGTAGAATGATAGCCGAGTCACACACTCGGATTCGAGAGATTTTTCACCTGTACGCAGTGGATTATCCAAATCGTCGAGTACTTTCATTTGGAACTGAAGAGCGTATCTGATGTCAGTCATAAAAAAATTGCAACATTTTTTTTCAACAAGTTTCGCAGCGCATGTCGCTGTCTAATAGGAAAGAGTATCTCTTAAAAATTATAAAAAAAAATGTTATAACCTTTTTGTGACTGACCATGTGACACGATTCAAGTGTAAAATTCAGAACCAATTCTGATTTCACATCTGAATATCTCACTAGAGGCAAGTTTCAATTAGCGACTATTAATAGAAGCCTTCGAAAGTGTGTTGAGTCTCCTAGCTATTTCTCAAAGGATGATAGAATTATTTTCAATCGCACGCATTAAAGCGTCTGGTCCCTCGCTGGAATTTTTTTTGTTTGATGACGTCGAAAATATGCCAAGAAAATTCTTGCATTATTGCAAGGTTCGTAATAAGAGACCAGAAAATATAATTAATATCGCCGATAAGTATTGTCGGCAAAAAGCTCGCCATTGATTCTAATGTAATTCAAGTCACGCTATTTCTGTCGTAAATGCAAGTCTTTTAGAATTCAAGGAACATCTGTTATCGTACCACATGTATGAGAGTTAATCACGCACTCAGAGAAGACGCGAAGTACGCAACATATACACACGGTACGGTGGAATTGCTCGTACAATACTCGAATTGTGTAACCGTATTTCGTTATCTCAAGTCTGACAAGGTAATGGTGATGTGCTTACAAGTCCAGTGGGTAGAAGAACAACACGACGTATTTGCCTTTGTAATCGGAGAGATTAATGTCCTTAAATTGTCCGTTTACGACAGCGGTGCCGCTGAAAGCGGGCGCCGGTCTCTGGAGCTGCGGCACTGGCATGATTGTTGCTTGATTGCTGTAATCAGGAATAGGTAAAACTAGACTGATATCGTGGTAGAGCCACGCGCGAGGGCGCTCGTAACTTATTCATCATTCCGAAATTTTATCTCATTGTTAATTTGCTAAAAAAAAATTTGCAAGAAAAAAGTATAGGTGTAAATCTCCAAAAATAGCGAGTAACGTTGTTAATAAAAAAACGCTGAGAGATAATCAGACAGTGTTCATCGAGAGCCTTCAATATGAATAATTGGGAACAAGTCGTCAAAAGCGAATGTATATAATTTTGCGATTAATCCGCAGCACATGTGCTTATGCGCCCAAGCAAAGTCAAATATCATTAAGGAACTTCATAATGCAATGCCTAAATGTCAACAACACACCCTGTTCATACCGTCTGCTTTTCAGCGAAGTAAGCGGGAGCAAACATGTTAACAAAATTCGTATACAGGAATATATATTCATGTAATAACCTCTGGAAAAATTCCCGAGGAGAAATTTTCGATGTATGTTCCGCAAGTCTCGATTAAAAATTTTCGTCTTATCTTCTTTTACCAACATTCCATTCCAGTGATATTAAAAGCGGCGAAATTCTTGCGGAGATTACATCGCGGAAGTGTTTCTATGAATGAAAGATATCGGATAAGCAATATGCTGAATAAACTTACAATCGACATTCAGCATTCAAGTAAGTTCGATAAGCACAAAAAATCGCCGATAACTAAGCATTTATTCAACGATAAGTTATGTCAATACGGCCGTTCATTAGTGTATCGATTGCATCACATATTACCAAATACACGCACACCAAATTCGTGTTGTTATCTTCGACCGAAAATGTCGACTGATGACGAGAGCTATTGAATAATTAACAGTAATTAATAATCAATAGTAAATCGCGATAGGGAGAACTATTTATATGCGGTGTTACTGTATGCATAAGGAAGTAAATAATAAACAATTGAATAATATTATCATTACTGTTGTTATTATGGTAATTATTGAGAACTTATGTATACCCCAGAGCATAAAACACTTTGCGTATCGGTTTATCATGAATTCGCAATGAGATGGCATTTTAACAAACTCGATATTAATTTCCATTCAAATGTACACAAAGCTTCAATCTTGAAATCAATTAATATCGGAAATGAGCGAGGTTCGTTCTGAGCTTCGAGATTGTACAAATAACGTGTGTTATGAAAATCGGAGTTCGAAACTGTTCAGAATAATTTGAACTAAGAGATAAAGTGATCGACATTAAACCAGCGATACGCCAGATGGGACCGCCGATTACGTAACGGCTGAGATCAGGTATAGCCGAGGTTTCGTAGGAAGAAAGACCTAGGGGCAAGGAGGGGAACTTCGTACAAAGGAATCTTCTGGTACAAGAGAAAACTCCGCTCGCGCGGTGATTTCAAGCTGGAACATGAAAAAGGCCTAGAGACAGCCGGCCTTGTGAAGCCTTCCTATAGTGAAGCCTTCCTTTGTTACAGACGACTCCAGCGCGTATAACACTAACTGCAATAAGTGTCGCTCGTTAATGTGGAAAAACGAACAGTAACCTTGCATTCTCGTTCTTTTACTGTTACTAAAAATAAAAGTAAAAAAAGAGATAATTGAGCGCTTATCTGCGTCATTGAGAGAGGAAATCCATATTTTTAGTGCTAAGTAATCGTTCGACATATTCTAAACTTTTGTCACGTATACATACAATATTAACCTAAGATTTAGGTAACATTGAAAATTCACAGATATTTGCTTGTCTTAAATATACATAAATTTGCTGCTAATTAGCAGAGGAATAATTCAGCAGAACAAAGCGATGAGCAAATAATCACTAATCTATAATTTTAAAGATGAAAAAAATGTTTTCTTCCGGGAATTTATTTGGTTTCCTATCTACTCCTTACGGAAAAAAAAGTAAATACAGCAGGTTTTGATCGAAAACACGTGAATTGTTTTTAATGAATTTTTGCATTCAAGAGACAAATGGACCGAAATTCGTGAAAACCGAAAAAAAAAAACGGTTTTCCCCCGAAACTTTAAAACTTTACATTATAATCCGATTAAAATTGTAAATTATTAATCGCTTATTAAAAGTTGTAATTTTTCTAAACACAACCAATAACCACTTTGCATAAAAATATGTTTCAGCACGCGGTTCATCGTTAATTCTTTATATTCTCGAGCATCGTTAAATTTTGTTCTAGTAAACGTTCAACCGCGCGCATAAATACATACTCAACGTAGTTAACGAATGTAAATGCATCGGCGAGATATTGCGCGCTAAAACGGTCCCACGTCGAATTGCGTTAACTCGCGCAACGGTCAAGACCGCTAATTACGGAAGTCCTCTCCAAAACGTAACTCACCAAACGATAAGCGTAATGTTGAGTCAACGGAACTTTTCTTTAAAACGTAACTCTCCAAACGATAATATTGAGTCAATGTCGTGATACTCTTATCTCGGCTCTAAAATATTTTCATCCTTTTTTCGTGAGCGTAAAACCCTTCGTGATGAAATAAAATCAGCGATAACAGACAATAAAAACTTGTTTAGAGATGATCGGCCCGAACAAAAATGAAATACTTCGCACGAACCTGCCAACGAATTAAACGAAATGCGCGTAGTGCTGTGTCAAACAATCGGATTATATTTTCTTTTATCGTAATTCATCGAGCGCGTCTAACGGAATCAATTCGGAGCATAGCGCCACGACGTAGTATATTTATGAACAATTTCTCTGGATGCGGTCCAAATTTCGAGAATGTCCGGGAAACAGATAGCGCTCTCACGTAATTCTTTCCCGTTAGTGCTTCTGCGAAAACGTAACCGCGATTACGTCGACTCAATTGGCGTGATTCGAGGCGCGTCGTGCAGCCATGCCGGCGTAACAGCCGCAACCCGGCGAGGACGTCTCTCTCTCTCTCTCTCTCTCTCCCTCCCTCTCTCGCTCGACTTGATTTGCGTCGGCGGGACAGAGAGAGAAAAAGAGGCCAGGAAATCTGTCGCTATAATCTCGCGGTTAAATGATGCTTACGTTATCCGCGTACCCCGGTTCGTCACCGTGCGAGGTACCCTCGGGGCGTTGACTAACGATCGTTCGCCGGATTTCGACCGTTGACGCAGGAGGAAATACACGACAAGCCTAGAAACCATTTCGGCGCGTCTTTTGTTCGCGAGTAGATAAAAGCGTAACGCGCCTTCAGCCCCGGGAGGGATATCGTTGAAAAGCATCGATCCGACAAATTTCACGAGATCCGAGAGAAACGCGGAAGAGGTGAATTACCTTAATTAGCTTCCTCGTAGGAGACTACGGCGTGCCGAATCCAGCAGCAGACGCTACAACAATGAGAAGGGAGCGAGAACTAGCCGGCCACCGGTACCGCGGCTTCCCTTTTAGTATTGACCGTTATATACATATTCGCACACGCGCAGCAGCGCGAACGATATCAAGCGCGACGGCGCGCCGACGCCGCGACATCTGGCCGCGGATTGTGAAATTATGAGGGAATCATTCGCGCGCGCCTTCCGAGAACGGTGTGTTCCGAATGGACGTCTTTTTCTCTCGCGTGAACTCGTGAAAAGTGAACATTATTTTGATTTGAAAATATTTGTGGAAATCACCGGCGTATAGTATCGGACGGAGTGAAATCGGAACCGCGTTGATAGATGTACAACCGTTTCTCATCGTAATGGTGTAAATCAAATCGACGATTAACTCAACGGAGTCGACCAATCGCATTGATCAGTTAATTGACCAATGCGGTTGACCCGTTCAGTCAATCGTCGATTGGATTCAAACCATAATGGTGGAACCGGGGAAATACGTTCGTCAACTCGAAAGATGAAAGAAATTTTGCCACATGCTCTGTCTAATACGATCCTGGTGAGCAAAAAAGTACTAACACAACGTTATTGTAATGATATTTTATAACGTGTAACATTTTCAAATATGTAATGCTTAATGTTGTGTACAGCGTCATTGTTAACAACATTTGACTCGAACATTAAAAATTAATATTTCTACGCTATTAACAATAATGTAATTTTAACATTTAGGAATATTGTATCATCGAGTAACAGTTGAAAAACATTGACCAAATATTGTGTGAAAATATTGATAAAAACCACGTAAAATCAGTGTTTCAAAAGATTAATTCAATGTTTCTCCGACTGCGGCATACGGCGTATCGTAGAACAGGGTTTTATTGGGATACATCGATGATGGAAATATTCATTTTTCACGAATTCACGCTAGAGGGAAAGATTCACGAACGCCCCCAAGATTGAAGTGGAAAATATACTGCGTATTCGCCCTAATACTAATCCCCCTAGACGCGGGAGAACGATTTCTCGGCGGTAGGTTGGCTCTCCTGATGTTTGTGTGTCGGGCGGTTGACAAGATTCGACAAGTTCGAGGCAGGTGTCCGCGAGCAGTTCGAAATTTTATAATCCGCAACTTCGAATTTAATGAGGTATGACAGATTGTATTCTAGCATACTTTGATGCATGTTTTGCCATTTGTCACGATTCACTCGTAATAACAAGGAAATTGTACGTTTATCTGCTCGTAGAAACGTCAGTTAACCTCTCTCGGTAGGCACTCGTTCTGCGTAGCTATCGTTATTCGAAAAGTCGTCACTGAAAAGGTAAGCTTCTCATACAAGTTACTCAAACAATTATCGAGAGAGACTGTTGTCACTGGTGAGTTGAGAATTTCTGCAAACATTTGCGAAATATCTTCTGTTCTTTATATTTTATCATCTCATCGTGCCAATCGACATGCTTCGATTACGTGACATGTAATTATTTTCTCTCGTGCAGAGATCGATTTATGCTTGACTCCACCATCTTGGTTTAAATCTAATTTACGATTAACTCAAGGGAATTGACCAGTCGCATTGATTAATTGAGCTGATTCGCCAATGCGATTGATCAGTTCCGTCGAATTAATCGTAGATTAGATTTAAACCGGAATGTTGGAACCGAATATTAGACGGGAAAGATTTGGTTGCGAATGCAATCAGTGGAGGCGCGAGTCGGGTCAGGAATGAATAAACGTCCCTTCGTAAACCATGGTGTGTCGTATGTGCTAATTATTTCTGCGTTATTTGTCTTTAATAACAACAATTTGTATAAATAATACATCTTGCGTGTATGCCGCAACATCAAAGGAACGACGCTATAGCGAACGCGTTTTGCGGCGCGACCTGCGGACGTCACTGAGCCGGGCACGAATACAATTTTGATATATATATATATATATATAAATATATATTTATATATATTTATATATTTATATATATAAATAGCTCGGAAGAGTATCTGCGTTATACCCTAATCCGTACGAGTAATATTGGCACTTACTAATTAATCGAAACCTGGGCCGTCTTAAACATTAACCGTCGATCGAAACGATACGAGAGATCCCGATTCCTCCTTCTCGTCCTCTCTCTTTTTTTTTTTCTGTCTTCTCGAGTCACGTAAGAAAGAGAAAAAAAGAAGGAAACGGAAAAAACGTTCCAAGTGAATTCTAGGAGGACGATCTTTTTCGCTAGAATGGCCGGTGTAATTCAGTACGTGGTGGTGCGGGGAGATCTTTCGAAGGCAATGAACTGGCCGTTGGGCGCGGTGGTCGCACAAGCGTGTCACGCGTGTACCGCCGTTACCCATCTCTTTTACAATGACACCCACACGCAGGCTTATCTCGCCGATTTAGATAATATGCACAAGGTGGTGCTCGAGGTAGGTATAACACGACTTGGCAAATTACGCGCTTGTCAACAACGCTTCGTTATTTTTTTCGTACGTAATGTTGCGTAAAACAAGCTTGGTTTAATGACAGATTTATAGAAAACAATTTATGCTGTCACAAGTGTGCGACGCCGGTAGGAAACGTGTTAATTCGCTCGTATCAGCTGTCGGATCCGGTCAACGCGTTATCTGTTGCGATAATGTGTGTAAAAAAGCAATTAGTTTCGTTGCTCATATTTCCATCGTCTTTCAATTTGGCTATTCTTATTGCGTTGTCAAGTTTTTGGAATTGAGACACGTGCGGCGGAAGCGCGAATTTACCGCTCGACGATAATTTCCCTGTAACAATGATAAAGCCGTATGTAACAAAGCGTGAGTCACACGTGTATGGATATAACAGGCCCCCGACGAAGCCAGTCTGCAAACGCTGTGTACGAAACTGAAGGAGAACGACATTCAGCACAAGCTGTGGATAGAGCAGCCCGAAAACATCGCGACGTGCCTGGTGACGAAACCCTATCCCAAGGACCAGGTGCAGTCGTACTTCAAGAAGTACAAATTGCTCAAGATGTGACGGCAACGGCGGATGTAAACGGCAATAAACATCTTTTTATGAAGACGGAGCGTCTCGTATATTGCGTTCTAATCGGAAGTTAACCCTCTCGACGCCAGATTCCTAAGAAAATCCTTAAACATCATCCAACCCGTTAACGAGGAAAAAATATCCCGGAAAATCTCGGAACGATTCTTCTCTCCGCGAGTGATTGGAAATTTTCATGAAAGTCGGCTTACTCAGATTATGCGATCGTACGTAAAAAGAATAACTAAGGAGAGAGAAAATTGAATCCAGAGGTAATGTGTAATATTATTAAGAAACCCGGTGACACAGAGGAGGCTAACAAGCGCACGTTAGAAGATAAATGCAAGATCCGAAGAGAGAGAGAGAGAGACGCTGGTAACATTTATATTTTGTCGAAAAGGCACGAAAGATATACGAAGGGAAGATCAACGCGCCTGGGATAAGCCGCACTTCGCACGTGTCTGTCGGACGTCTGGCGTCCGACTGTCGATATTCGAATTCGGGTAGCACCTCGGGGTCCGCCTCTCTCATCTTTCCGTTTCCTTTTTTTTTCCATTTTCCATTTTTACGGGCGACGTCGCTTCGACGTATGGGAAATATTCGCGTGCGTTGGCCACGGGCAACGTCCGAGCGAGAGAAAGAGAAAGAGAGAAGGAGAACGAGAGAACAGCGACGCGCGGCGTGTCCGATATTTTCCGACATCGAGAGAAGATATACACTTACTGATTTATTTCGCGATAGTCCCGCAAGTCTTGATGAAATTATTGCGTGTACAGTGTCGTACTTGCTCGCGCGCTGCTACTAACTAGCGGTACGATCTAATCTAGACGGTAGTAACGCGAAATCGCGCGCGTCACTAATCAACTAGTCGTATCAAAAAGTGTCTCTCCCGAGCGTCACGTACGCGCGAACTCTATCTTGAATACCTCTACGTTTAGTATGGCAGCGAAGATAGTCTTTTCACAGGTACGCGTATATATATGTATATGTATGCCTGACGACACACGTGACCGTGTCGGATTAACTCTTAAGCTTGAGCGACCTGATCGCGCGACCCTTCCGAAGATTCCGCGATCGGCAATTTTCCGTGACGTCTCTACACAAGACGCAACGGTGCGTCTCGAGCGAGTCGATAGTGCGAATGCCCGTACACGGAGAGAATAAATATTTAAGAAATAACAAATATTTCTCGTGGGCGCTAACGTATATTTACTTATACCAATATACATGTTTTCACACCGAGGGAAAATTGTTTTTAAGCGAGGAAATTTACACATTTTCCTCTTCAATTCTGTAGTTTCTCGCGAGAACAATTGGTTATTCTGTTTGAATAAAAGAATTTAGAGAGGGGGATTTAAGTAAATATGTTATTAGTACCCACCGAATAGTATTTTTTGGATATTTTCTCTCGGTGTAAAAACGAATTTTTCTCCCCTTTTTTCCGAAGCACGAGTCAAGCCGCGAGGCTGAGAGTTAATCCATCGGCGCGATTCTCCCCCTTCTCGTCCTGCGTATGTCATCATGCTCTTGTCGAGTCCACGGAGGGGAGTCCTTCGGCTCATCCTTGCCACAAATACCGGTTCATTCGTTCGTTCGTGGATGTACCGAGTGTACGAGTGTTCGATAACTCCGCGAGCGAACGCGCCTCCTTCCCAACTCGCACCAACACGCTCGTCCACAAAATGTCCTTCCCGCGCACTTCACTTCGCGTCTCCGTAATTACTTTCCTGGCACCTACACTTCTTCCTTTTCTCTCTCTCTCTCTCTCTCTCTCTCTCTCTATCTATCTATCTATCTATCTCCCTCTCCCGTCGCTGTCGCGTCTGCTTGCTCCGACGTCTTTGTGGTGGTCGTTTTACGACGGTTCCTACGAGGATCCGCGAACTTTTCCGGAGCTCTCTCTCTCTCTCTCTCTCTCTCTCTCTCTCTCTCTCTCTC